GCGTGTTAAAATGACTTTGAAGCCAGTTTGAAAGTGTCTATACTTGCTAAATCTATAACAATTTGACCATCAAAATAAACAGAGATGGTTATGAACTTCAAGCTACTGAATAAAATAAAAATCCATGAGTTCAAACTGAAAATAAGCAAAGAAATGAATTGTATATATATTGACATATAATGTGTATTATACGTAGTTGTGTATGAAGAGAGGAAGAGAAAAAAATGGCTATTTCTTACAGGAAAAAAATGCCAACTGATGATATGGGGGAATCAGTAAAATAGAAATTGCTACATTTTTCAAACATCATAGTAAACATTGGTTCAGGCAAGGATTATTGATGGAGAATAAATCTAGGGGGAGGTGATTTTTTGAGGGAGATGAGAGATTTATATGCTCTTACAGTGTTCCCCACAGGTTGTCAGAACAACATGAAAGAGAATAGCTACACATGGAAGAGACCAGTCGGCTCCCTGACCCAGGGATGAGAGACCAGGATGAGAGATGAATAGGTGCCATATGACACTCTAGAGGAGACGGGCTCACTCAGGTGATGTGACAACAGAGGCTGCAGAGCCCACAGTGGATCGTGAGGAAACAAAAGGCAAACCAAATTTAGAAAGATTCTAGAAAATAATGGTTGGTGTTCTTCAGAAATGTCAGTGTCCTTCCTCAGTGTATWCCCAAAGGACTTAAAAACAGCATACTACAGGGACACAGGCACATCAATGTTCATAGCAGCACAATCCACAATAGCTAAACTGTGGAACCAACCTAGATGCTCTTCAGTGGATGAGTGGATAAAGAAACTGTGGTATATATCCACAATGGAATATTACTCAGTATGAAAGAGAATAAAATGGAGAATATAATGCTAAGTGAAGTGAGCCAATCCTCAAACACCAAATGCTGAATGTTTTCTTTGATATAAGGAGGCTGATTCATACTGATTGGTGGAGGAACATGGGAGGAATAGATGAACTCTAGATAGGGCAGAAGGGTAGGAGCGGAAGGGAGGGGGTATGGGGGTAGGAAAGACGGGGGAATGAGATGGACATCATTACCCTAAGTACATGTATGAAGACACAAATGATGTGACATACAACCAGAGGTATGAAAAATTGTGCTCTATATGTTTAATATAAATTATGATGCATCCTGCTGTCATATATAACAAATTAGAATAAAAAATAATTTAAAAAAGTATAAAGTCAAAATATTGCAAATAAGAAAAAAATGTCAGTGTCTTGAAAGACTAAGACTGAAAAACTTTTCCGGATTGTGACACAGGAATAATCCTGAGTCCTAACTGGAGGGAAAAAACCTGGTAAGAATAATGACAAATCAAAGCTGGACTGTAGATTAAAGTGCTGTAGCCACATCAAATCAATGGGATCCAGAACTCTACTGTCACTGCATAGGAAATATCCTTGTTCTCAGAGAAAACTCTGAAATATTCAGGGGTAAGGAATCATATAAGCAATGTACTCTCAAATCACTCAGAAAAAGATCAGGAATAGGGCTGGGGATGTGGCTCAAGCGGTAGCACGCTCGCCTGGCATGCGTGCGACCCGGGTTTGATCCTCAGCACCACATACCAACAAAGATGTTGTGTCCGCCGAGAACTAAAAAATAAATATTAAAAATTCTCTCTCTCTCTCTCCTCTCTCACTCTCTCTTAAAAAAAAAAAGATCAGGAATAATAGCAACAATAATAAGAGTGGAGAGAGAGAGAGAGAGAGAGAGAGAGAGAGAGAGAGAGAGAGAGAGAGATTGATTTTAATAGTTATGGTAAAATGTGAAGAACCTGGGGATATGGGAGTTCTCTGCATTATGCTCACAACTATTCTGTAAATTTAAATTCATTTCAAAATGAAAAGTTTTTGAAAGTCTAATGAAACTCTGGTAATTTTTTTGCCCCCCATCAAGTTCTTCCTAAAAATGTCCTGATGCCCTCTTCCCTGGTATCCCATGCCTGGTTACTTGTTTCAGGATTCGTCAGTCCTGGCCCCAGGTCCTCGTGGCAGTGGCAGAACCATCTGGACGCGTGTCCCTGGGCCCAGGCAGGGCTAGAGCTGCATTAGGACCAAGCACATTCCAGGCCTGGGAGTCCCGGCAGAAGGTCTTCCGTGTTCCTTGCTCTGAAGAGTTTCCCTCCCCAGTACCCAGACATTCTACCCCTACAGCCAGTTCCCAAAGGGTGACGCCACATCTCCAGGTCACGGTGGGGAACTCTCAAGGTGCCAGTTATACCACAGTTCCAGATTTTTCCAGATGCTTCTCTGGTTACCTTCACTGTCTCTATCTATATAGAATGAGGCTAAAAATAGTCCATTATTTCTTGGACTTTATAAGATAAAGCAGAGACAGAGATCCTGGGACACAAAGATCATCAAGAACTTTTATGTATAATTATAATTACTCCCAGATTAGCTTGATGGACCATAGTTTGCAAGATCAGGTCTTTAGACCAGACTTTCTCATGCGCTTCCACACTTTGTTATTTTCCCTCCTGCATGTTGAGTAATTCATCACAATATGATTTGATATTGATTTCCCAGACCATCTTTGGTTTGAAATCAGACAAATATCAACTCAGATATTTACTAACCATGACAGAATGACATTCTGTTAGGGATGCTCTTACAGGAAGTCTTTCATTGGGGAAAGGTTGCCTGAAGGCTTCCCTATCTCTAAAAAAAGATTTCTTTGACTTTTTTTTTTTTTTTTTTTTTGGCACCAGGGATTGAACCCAGCGATGTTTAACCACTGAGCCACATCGCCAGCTCTTTTTATAATTTTATTTAGAGTCAGGGTCTCACTGAGTTGCTTAGAGCCTCGCTAAATTGCTGAGGCTGGCTTTGAACTTGTGATCCTCCTGCCTGAGCCTCCCGAGCTGCTGAGATTATGGGCATAATCTGTCTTTGGTCTTTTCTGGGTCCTGTCTCCATCCTTGTCCAATTTTAGCCAGACTCTTTTGCCATTGCCCATACTCCCCCAGATGTAACCCAGCCTAGGGGCCCAAGCACAGATCTCATTTTTCCTGACTCTGTTCCCCTTCATCTTTCTTCTAGTGGTTTGACAGGATGTCTGGGTCCCTGCCCCTGGCCCTTCTGTCTACCTCTATGCAATGGAAGTCTGTGTCTACTTACTTCAGGAGAGACTTTGGAAGGCTTCAGGATGAAAAGTTGAAGTGCTAAGAAAGAAGAGGGAGAGAGACAGTAAATTCCCTTTGTTCACTCATTAGCTGGGGCTCCAGTAAGAGCCATGTTGCTGCCACCCTCTAACTCCCTGAGTTTCTTCCCTCTTTTCTAGGATGGGGGTGCCCTGGATCCATGTAAACACGTGCACACTGACCCCACAGCCTAAAGCACTCCCGTCCTGACCTGGGCTACCACTGACCAGGGTCCTAGTGCTGACTTACCTCCATCCAACAGCGCCAGGAAGGCCAAGATGAGGAAGGGAGCAGGCTTCCCAACAAACTCGTACATCACACTTCCAAAGGGAGCGCCCACTGGGAAGGCAAAGCAGCACAGACCCCGGGAGTGAGCAACCCAGTCGCAGAGGCTCATCCGCGGGCGTTACCCACCAGGGGCCAAAYGTCACCTGGGCTTCTGGAGATTCATACATGGAGAAGACCCCGCCCCTGTCCCCCAAGGAGCTCACTTTAGAGTGAAGAAAATATGAAGGGCAGGTTCAAGAAATTGTCACTGTCAAGTTTGACAGTAAAATCGGATGCACAAAGTGCTGTGCCAACACAGTGAGGTGGGTCAGAAAGTCCTATTGGCCACAAGGCCTTTGCCAAGTGCAGAGTGCCTCGTGGGAAAAAAGAAAAAGTATGCAAGAAGACCACAGAGGCGTCAGAAAAGAGCGTGTTGCTACAGAAGAGAGGGGAGAGAGTCATTGTTGGTGTTTGGGAACAGAGCGGGGGGACAGAGGTGGAGAAGGTTGAGGTCACTTGTCACGGGCCCCAGGTGGTCAGATGAGGTGTCTACTGAGCTTTTTGATCTGGGGCTAAGCATCAGTTCCTTTCAATGGGAGAGAAACACACCACCGGCTCTGGGCTCAGGAAGGAGGGAACAGGAAAGAGATCAGGCTGGGGCCATGTTCCAACCCAGAAAGGGTGAGGAGCGGCCCTTGAAGGGGCAGCAGAGGGTGAAACAGGCCTGTTCATGTGACTGTGAGGAACGAGTCCAGTGTGCACCAAGTTTAAGGCTGAGTTTGGGGGAAGATGAATGCTAACAAAGAGCAGGGCTTTGTTCCCTCTGTGGTTGTACAGGGTGGGGACAGGCTGGGAAGGAGACTTTTGGCATTTTCTCCTCAGTGGGCTTGTAGCCTCCTGGAGGGCAGGACTATGTCTGGGGTTCTTACCTATTGCCCACTGTTAGCGTTGTGCTTGGCATGTAGTATACACTCAGCAAAAGTAAGTGGCTTTGGACTAGTAGATTAAAACACGTGAAGGATGAGCCTCGAGGAACGCACAACCTTATGGCCGAGAGCTCGGGATTTGAAGTGCAGAAGATCTGAGGTTCTATCCTGGCTCTGTTGTTGCCTGACTCTATGACCTTGGATGGCTGCTTAATTTTTCTTATCCTCAACTCTAACCTGGGGACCATTTTTCGTCCTTCGGGTGGCAGTGAGGAATAAAGGAAATTATATCTGGGATGAATTCAGCAGAGAATCTGGGTGGGGAGAGCACACTCTCATGTTGAAAGCATGGAGATTCCGACATGGAGAAGTAGAGATACGGCAGGCAGAGCAGGTCACTCACACGGGGAGGTTCGTTCCCTTGGACAGGCTGGCTTTCTGGATCTCTCTGAGGTCCTTATGAACGGCACAGCTTATTAAGGATAAAGAAATGAAATCTTCCCTTGGTGATATTGGTTTTTGGAGGGTGGTACCGGGGATTGAACTTAGAGGCACTTGATCACTAAGCCACATTCCCAGCTGTATTTTGTGTTTTATTTAGAGACAGGGTCTCACTGAGTTTCTTAGTGCCTTGCTTTTGCTGAGGCTGGCTTTGAACTCTCCATCCTCCTGCCTCAGCCTCCCGAGCTGCTCAGATTACAGGTGTGCACCACCACRCCTGGCCCTACGTGATTTTTCTGAAGGAGTCCACCTGTGATTGAGCCAGGAAGAGAAAGGAAACACTCGCTCATCTTCCACAACCCAGGACACCTGCCTCCAAGGGTCTGCAGTGCTCCCAACCTTCCTGAACCCAGAGTTGCAGCAAGGTGCCACTTACCCAGCACTCCCAAAGCCAGGCCCCCCAGGGCAATTCCCATGGCTCGCCCTCTCTCGTAGTCATCAGTGTAGACACTGGCCAGCATCCCAAGACCTGAACAGAGAATGACAGAGGGAGTTGGYACCTGGGAGGGCTCTGTCTGCCTCTCTCAGAGTCCTTGGTCTCTGCTCTATCATGTCGTGACTAATAATCTTAGATAAAGTTTCAGTTTGAGGGGTGTTACAAAACTTATCCATAGTATATTGCCAATACTGTCCCCCACTGGTCCCTCAAATGTCCACACTACTCATTCCTTCTGGGCATTAATGGAAATGCAAAGGCTTCTGGGAAGGGTGACACAGACGACCACTCTCTAATTGTGCCATATTTCATAGTGTTTGATCATTTCCTGGCCCATTTTCCTGCATGAGGGGGCTCTGGAGCAGGTGAGGGGAAGGAGCACCTATGAGCAGAGACTGTTCCACTCAACATTGTGCCCAAGGGGGGGGGGGCAGGAAAACACCAAGCACCTGGAGCACGGCCTGAGCTGGCAGGGCACAGCACCCACAGAAGAGCATAAAATATCAGCCTCACAGGATGCCATGAAATATTTGACAATACTTAGCAAACTCTGATGGTATTACAGGTGGTGTTATTATGACAGTTCCTATAAAATAAGAGAGAGAGAGAGAGAGAGAGAGAGAGAGAGAGAGAGAGAAGAGAGAGAGAGAGAGAGAAGGGCACTAAGTAAAAACCTGGCCTGTTTATGGTTTTACTTGGGCTTATTCTGAACTGAGCTGGTATTACAGGTGGTGTTTTTCTGTCAGTTCATATAAAAAAAGAGAGAGAGAGAGAGAGAGAGAGAGAGAGAGAGAGAGAGAAGAGAGAGAGAGAGAGAGAAGGGCACTAAGTAAAAACCTGGCCTGTTTATGGTTTTACTTGGGCTTATTCTGAACTGAGCTAGCAGCATTATTATTGTATTATTCCAGGATGTTATGCCAGACTTAGGGATCCATGGCACTGCCAGCCACTCTGCAGCTACCTTGTTCCTGAATCACAATTTCTTCCTATCAGGATGAGGTTTTCCTTAATTAATTTTCTCATATAAATCTTAGAGTGATATTATAGTGTCTGAGTAAGAGGTGGTAGGAGATGTGTGCATGTGTGTGTGTGTGTGTGTGTGTGTGTGTGTGTGTGTGTGTGTACACACGCAGCATTACCTGCAACAGATGAAAACGAAGATCCAATGCCTTGAAGGGTTCGGGCCACAAACAGCAGGGTATAAGTGGCAGAAAAAGCAAACACTGGGGAGAGAATATCAAGAATGCTCCAGTTAGCAAATTGTGTTTGATTCCCCAGCCACCAGACAACCTGCCCGTGACAAGCAGAGATGAGTCATTATGCATATGTTTCAAGAAAGCACAATGATTTGGGCTTTCTGTTCTTGAAGTTGTCCTTCTAATCTCCCCAGCCTTCACTCAGGACTGATTTTTATTTTTAGGACTGATTTTTTAATTGGCAAGAAGACTGAGAAACCGCAGACGCATACCAAGTCACCACACAGAGCAGATGGAAGACCTGGTCTCCACATTTCTTGCTGAGAGCTGCATCTCTAAGTCACTGGAATTAGGGATGTTTGTGAAGCCCAACGGCCTGGKCGAGGAACTGGTTCCTAGCTCCTACTTCAAAAGATGTTGCCTCCTCCATAACACCCAGATTTGGCCTTTGTCATTACTGGGCCACATTGGGTCATCTGGAGTACTGTGACAGGAACTTGTGGACACATCGTAGACCACAGGATAGAAAATACCTTGTGATCCAATCACATCCTTCTCCCTATCTTATGTCAGAAGATCTTTTAACCAAATCAAATTAGTCTGTATTAGATATTAATAAATGCACAGACAGCTCTGCTAGACTCTGCGAGCAAACCTGAAAATAAAGAGAACATCCAGTTCACGGAAACTGAACCAAAGAGCAATAAGTTATCCAAAACTAAATCACAGGGGGTTTATTAAAACAATGGAATATTATTCAAACTTAAAAACTAATGATGTGCTGATACCTACTCCAACATGGATAAGCCTCAAAAACATTGTGCTAAATGAAAGAATTCAGATGTTAAGGGCAACATATCATAGGATTCCAATTGTTGGTGGTCAGGTTGGTAGATGCAGACGTGCCTCACCCTCGATTCCAGAACAGTGTCTCCYAAGGAGAGGAGAATCCCTCCCCAAGTGTCTGAATCAGAGAATGTTAATCCTCTTGCCCATTCATTATAGGTGTCTCTGGTTGGGCTTGTAATCTTCCTCAATTACTTCCCGACATGATCACACATTGCCTAGCAAACRCGCACATTCCTGGTGTCTCCCTTGCTGGCCTCTGGTGCCCTTTCTCAGACTTTCTGATTTCCAGTCCACAGAGTGGCCAACTGATTTTGATGTGCCCAGGACTTTCTTAGTTTTAAAACTGAAATTCACACTCTCTGGGAAATCCTTCAATCCTGGGCAAAACAGGATGGTTGCTCACCCCATTTAGGAAGATCAGAGTAACTTCCTTTCCTCTTTGCACACGGGCCCCTGTTTAGTTCCCAACAATTTTAAGCCTAGTTCCCTGACAGGGAGCTGGATGGGTAATAATGGGCATCAGAAACCTCTTTTTAGCATGTTTGAAGACCCTAAATGAGGCTACATAGGATATCCTAAACACCAAATATATTTTCTTTTGGCTAGAATTAGGCCAACTTAATTTGGCAACACTGGTGGTCGCATGGAAATACTCATTTCTATTTAATACGTATAGTTTGGTAGATAAGAAAAACTTTAAAAATATGAGTGTTTATCAGAGAACGAGGAAAGGACCTTATGCTAAAGAGCCTGGTTCCACTGATACACAACATTATATTATTTTGCTGGTGTTTGTCATGTCTCCCAGGCAACCACCATCTGCCCCTGGGGCTGGAACCACRACTGTCGTCGTCCTTTAAGTTCCATAATACATGTGCTCCGTAAGGTTTTATGAAATGAATTCAAAGTCTTATTAGATGACATCGTTTTTTAAATTTGCTGTCCAGCAAGGACCAAGCTTTAGAAGTTCACTGGACACTATGAACTGTAATTTCCTCATTTTTTTTTTTGATTTAGAACAGCATGAGGAAGTTGTAGTTCTCAGGTGAAACTGCGTTTCTTAAGTTCCTGTATTTTGCAGTCTTCCTGCCCTGAATGCAACAAATTCTCATCAAACCTTGGTTTGGTAGGAGTCCAGTCCTATGCTGGGAGGGAAGAAAAGACGAGAAGGAGGAATAGAGAAAGATAAGTAACAGAAAGATAAGAAAATCAAGAGGGAGAAAAGGTTATATTGCTGGAGAGCAGGGAATTACTAAAGGGAGCAGGAGCTACCAGTGTGCTCACAGGCTCCCCCCATCTATTAATCCCCAAACGAGGATCCTCCATTTACTCCTTTTTATTTTTCATTCTCAGCATCAACTACTTTTCTCGCTTCCTGTTTTTATTCCATCTGCATTCTATTTGGAATATTTAGCTGATACAGGATAGGCTCTCTAGTCTTCTCATTTATTTAACAAATTTACTTTGCTAAACCATAATCTTTATTGGGAAGTTGGAGACTTTCTGGAATTTTCCAATTACTATTTTCCAACTTTTTTTTTCATTAGCTGTGGCATATTTTTCTTTACCATGGCATATTAGAATAATTTGATCTTTACCCAAGGCTGGGAGGTTTGCATGAAATTCACTGAAATTCACATGCATATGTGAATGCTCACATACACACACACACACACACACACACACACACACACATTAATATATATTATACAAACAGCCTTTATGATTTCCACTGATAAATGAAATATCTGTTCTCCTTCAGCAGAATAGACAAATTCCAGCTAGACTAAGTTGTCACTACTATCCTAGTCCCCCATTCCAAAAATTGCAAAGCATTCAAATCAATGTCCCAGTCCAATTAGATGGCTAATTACCGGATGAGCTAACCTGACCTTGCTCTCTATGCTGCACTCACATGATAAAATCAGAGGTTTCAGTGAAGGGGAGAACAGGGGAAGCATATTACTTACTAACAGTGGAGAGAAACATGATAACAAAGCCAGCGAACATGGGGATGTGATATCCAATCCTAAAAGGGAATAAACAAAAGAAGATACCATTCCAAAGGGCACTCACACACACATATTTTTTWAAACGCTAGTGGAAACAGAAATGTGGTTAATTTGAGTTCGTGGTAAACATGTCTCTGAATGCAAGAGTGGAGGTGGAATACAGCATGCGAATGACTCCATGCAAATAAACAAACATGCAAATTGACCTGCAGACTGAGGCCAAAACCTCTTCCAGAAAAACTCAATAGAGTGTATATCTCCTCAAAACATTGCCATCATCCCTCAAGTGACTAGGAAGCCATACTTTAGAGGGCATTAGGACTGTCTCATTCCCACCTGGGTCCTGTTCAAGCTATGTTCCAGAGAATGARGGAACATGAGCTCTAATCGCTGCTCACTGGTTCTCTTCTTGGCCCTCAATATTCATTACATCACTAGGGAAATCAGAAGTTCACAATGTTTCACCAATAACATGTCATCCTCTGAGGCCTCGGGGTAAGTAACTTTCCAAGGAGCTGATACTCTGGGTCCCACAGTGTTCCTTCTTTTTTCCTTCTACTTATCCATATGAAACCTCTGCCCAGCCTGCTATTCCTGAGCCCACGGGTACCCTGTGGGGTATGGCACTGACTGAGATACCTGTTGGTGAGAGGTCCCACGAATGGGTTGACCAGAAGTTGCATCAAAGCCTTTGAAGCAAACAGAACCCCAACCCGGATGTTCTCTTCCTCCAAGAATTCTGTGCCCTGCAGGCAGTTGTTTCTATGAGCTGTGTTGGCTTCGGTGACTGGAGGGGGCACAGTGCCAGAAGAGCCATTTGTCCAAGCTGTGCCCCTGGGTGCACTTTGTTCCACAGCTATGGTGATATTGTCAAAGAAGGAGAAGATGGTGGCAAAAGTAGGAAGGGTGAGGTCCAGCTGGGAACTCACAGAGAGGCTGGCGTGCCCAGAAGAATTGACCTCTTTGAACTCCGTGGCATACAGGAAGGTGGGCACAATGGGCACTGAAAGTCAATGAAGACCAATCGTAAGGGTTAGGGACAGATTATATTTTGCCACTACTAGGTTTAGGGATTACTTTAAGGTTCTGTTTTATGCCAAAGGAAGACCTTTGTTAAGTGACATCCTTTAAGGTGAGCTAAAGACTGTGCCTGCCCAAACTGTGCTGTTAGCTAAGGGACCTGCATTCCAACCATCACGTCGCTGGTCCTCCCAGATTCATGGATTCTGCATGGGCCATTTTTCCTACTCACTGAGATTTATTTACCACCTGAAAATCAATACTAATTGAGCTATAGTGATATTTTGCAGACCGATATAGATCAGTGAGGCACCCAATGTGCACGTTCCCACTTCAGTGAGATCTGGGACAGTTCCCTGGTACTTGAATCCCAGATCTGACAACTTTTAGCAGGCAGCCTCAGGCATATCATTTTATGCTTCTTTGTTTTAAAAAAAAAAAAAACTACCAGGATGCTTTGTTTTTAGGTTTTAAGATTATAATCTATGTGGTGGGGGAGGGGCTTGTGTGCTCATATTTCCTCCTAGGAGCAATGATTCAGTATTTGCTAATCCAGCACTTGTGACAGCTTTACARAACATAATTATAACCATAGAACCACAAATAATGAGAATTGACAGCATTGGATTAGCCACTTGTCTCAGGAAGATTCTTATTTAAAATAGTATATTTTACCCAGGGGCAACAAGTTAGTAACGTTTATACCCTGGCACAATATAACATAAAGATTAAGGGAGTATCATCTAGAAAAAGAAAACTCCGAGGGAATGAACTGCAAGAAGGGTAGGGCTTGATAGAAGTTGAATGTCCAAATGTCGTGTGCCATTTTTAAAGGACAGAGCTTAGGGAGGCGTGGCTCCCAGAGACAGGATGGGGAAGCAGAGGGAGGCCACTCTGGTTCCAGGACTTCCTCCTTTCTGGCCAGACACTCTCTGAACCTCCTTCTCTTTGAACCTCTGGAGTCATTAGAAATGGYAGGAAGACTTGGTTACTGTAGGCAGTTTCCCCCAGCCCCTAGCAACCTCTATATGTTTTCCCACCAGAAAAATAAGTCCACTCATTGCTGAAATGGAGCAGGCTGTATTGCCTAATGGAGTCCAAAGCAAATTAACTCTCACCCTGGAGACCCCCAAACGTACCCACCACAGTAAGCAGCATGTTGTCCAGAAGCAGGGCAACAAACACCACCACAAGCACCAGCTGCCGGGACCCTCTGCCTTCCTCCAGCAACCGCTGAGGAGCATCCAGGACTGTGCGAAGCATGGTGGGGCAGGGCTGGGGCTGGGGATGGCTTCTCCTCCAGGTGCTCAGAGGCACCTGCCGAAGCCCTGCAGCCGCCCTATACAAGAGGAGGAAATCTGTCCCTGTGAGCGAGACTCATTGTTAAAAAGATAAGTGCAAAGGGTTACAAGTAGCAGGAGTGTTTGAAAATTTTCCATGTTTGTCCCTCCCTTTATTTTTTTCTTTTTTTTGCAGTGCTGGGGACAGAACCCAGGGCCTCATGCACAGTAGGCATGTGCTCTGCTAATGAGCTACACCTTCATTCCTTTTAAAATTCTATTTTGACACAGGGTCTCACTAACTTGCCCAGGCTGGACTCAACCTCCAGAGCAGTTGGGGTTACAGGCATGCGCCACTGTGCCCGGCTCTGATCACTTCTCACACATATCAATAATGCTATTGATTCCCAGATTGCCTTCCAGGTAAGCGCTGCTTACCAGTAATTTATATTTGAAATTTAACCTAATGCATTACCTGTATGCTTCTCAAATGTCAGACATTTGCCCCTCACCTTGATAACTTATATCTGAGAAGTATCTGGACAATTACTTATTTACTCTTTTCCTTTAAGTCCATGTTTTTAAAATATTGCTATACTATTTTAAAAAGCAACTTGATATACCATGTAAAAAGAAAATTATGTTGTATGTCTAGTTACCACCCCCAAATTATGGGCTAGGTTATTTGAACCACCCAAAAATATCTCATGTGGCCAAACATCACTCATGCTGCCCACGGAGACACATTAGTCTGGGCCAACTTTCATTTCACAGTTACAAAATCAGAGACTCAGGAGCTTAGGAAGTTTGCCCTTGATCAAATTAATTATTGTCAAACAGGGATGAAATCTCAAGCTTTTTAACTTGCAATTTTCACTCCACCTTTTGCATGAACTCTGGGCACTAGAAGTGCTCATAATCTTTTATTTATCTTATAAACCCCTGCTCAGAAAGCTGTTTCACTGTGTATAAGTAAGATAATAACTTTCATGACTAGTTTCCCATGTAGGATTTCATATCATTTGTTAGCCTTAAGTCACAGTTCCTTGTCAAAACTTCAGGTAATCCCACTTTATGGAAGATTTCATTTTCTTTTATGTAGTTTCTATTGTGGTATCAACAACACCAATCATGCACATTTTTAAAACAGATAATTGTCATGAAATGTGTAAGGTCCTAGAAATTTGATTACTCCATTTCAATTAACCTGTCCTAAAGAAAGGCTCAGAGTATAACTAAAGGTTTATGTTTGAAGATATACRGCTGAATTATTTTTATAAGTGAAAAATGAAATATTTTAAAATCATATTTTCAAATAATTTCAATGACTTAGAAAATACTCTTAAGATGGTAAGCCCAAAAAAATAATATCAAGCTGTATTTACAGCTTGATCTCACTCAGGTAGAAAATTAATACATGTGTATGTTTTTAAAAGACAGGAAAAATAYCCACTCAAATACTGGTTATGTATAAGCAATGATTTAAATTATCTTAATTCTCATTTTCAATCATTTCCAAATATTCTGTAGTTAACAACTTTCATAACACAAGAAGAAAACAATTGTAAATGATTATCACTGAGTTCAATCATTAGCCTTAGCATTGGAAGAATCCTAAGTGCTCATCTGCTGTGCTCTAAACCCAGGGCTAAAGAACTCCTCCTGCAGTTCAAGCCATCAAGATAAATTTTAGCCAGATAAATTAACCAGAAAATGCACGCAATTATTAAGACCATTCATTTCAGCTACTTCCAAATACAGACTGACATAGGATACACAAGGTTGAAAATTAGAAGAGATTAAAAGAAAAGCAATGAAAACTACATGATTTCAATAGAATGCAATACTATAAGGAGAGAACACACAATAAAAACGAAAAGCTGACCCCAAACAATAATTTGCCAACAAATCAGGAGTAAATTTTATAATGAAAATCCTCTGATGAGAAATACAAATTATAAGGAAGAATTAAATTTATCCAGAGAGAAAAAATCCTACCTTTCAGTCTGGCTTGGTGTGTGCCACTCAGCRAGGGACCAGCAGGTGTTTGCAAGACAGCAGGACTCTGTTTTCTGAACGTGGATGTGCTGATGGATTTATTGCCACCTGTTATCTGAGGATGCTCTGTGTGCCCTTTGTCCACAAAGATTTAATTGGAAACTCCAACAGGTTCCACTCAGGGCCTTAGCTCCCTGCGTCAAAGGCAGGTAGGCAGGGCTGGAGAGRGCAGAGAGAATAGCTTGCTGAGCGAAGAGGCAGGAGGCTATGCTGTTTTACATCTGTGCTTATCTATCATCAAACCCTTTTAATTCTTGCCAGGATCAGAATACAAACTGGAACACAAGATGGAAGCAGGATGCAATTCCTGTCCCCGCCCACTTAGTCAAAGGGGCTCCTTGTACCCCACTTTGCTTCCTGGAAAGAAACAAATCTTAGAAAACTTACAGGGGACAGGGGAAATGTGCGTTTGCCATTCTAAAGCCATAAAAATTCTACATCTCTGGTCTGTGGAAAGACACAGGTTTCATACTACATCTTTGTATCCCAACACTAGCTCAGAGCCTGGCACATAGTGACCCCAGCACACCTTTCTTTCTTGTGTGGATGATTGGATGAGAATGAGGTCGTGAAAGAGTGAAATCCGTGGCAGCATAAGTTCACTGTGGAATCTTGGGGAAGCCCCATGGATCCATATTATTCTGACATTAGGAGTCATAGTTGGGCAAGGAGCATAATCAATTCAAAAGAGCAAATACAACTAATGAGCAAGGGTGGAAGCAGAGGTTTCCACTTGTGGAYCTGGTGGGTCCTTCCTAAGTGTAGGAGTTAATTCAGAGACTTTCCATTTAGGGCTAAAAAAAAAGAAGGCAATTATCTTAAAATGGAAATCTAAAGAGAAATAGGGAGAGGAGAAAAGAGCATTAGGGGAATGCATTACTCCTCTTGCTGCTGTAACAAGGTACTGCAAACTTGGGGGCACAAAACAACATACATTTATTTTCTTACAGTTCTGGAGGTCAGAAATCCAAAATAGCCGTTACTGGGTTAAAATCAAGGTCTCAACAGGACTGGATTCCTTCTGGAGACTCCAGGGGACAACAGTTTCCTTGCCTCTTCCAGTTCCTAGAAGCAACATGTGTTTCTTGCCTCATGGGTTCCACCTTCAAGGCCAGCTGCGTGCCATGTTTAACTCTCTCCCTCCTTCACTACCAAGGACCCTTGTGCTTACATTGGGTCCACCCATATGACCCCAGATAATCTTCCCATCTCAAGATCCCTCACTTAATCACATCTGCAACATCCCTTTACCATGTACAGGAACACAGTCACAGGTTCCATGATTAGGATGTGGGTACATCTGGGGTACCATTGCCCTGTGTGCCCCAGGGACCGTGGCACACTGGCTTTGACTCCTCTGTGGCCTGAGTATCTACAGAAAGAGGTTGCTAGAGCTGGATTAATAATATATTTACTAGACTCTGAGAATGAAGCACTATCTGTTTGGGGTCCAGGTGACACTTCTTTCATCAGGCCCTCTCCACTCCAAGTACAGGACCTCTGGAGGCTTGGGGCAACCCCCAGCAGAGTGGAGCTGTGTCTAGTGGAGAAAAGCACCACGTGGGGGCTTGGCATAGAGACCTCTAGTGAGGGATAGCTGCTCTGAGACACCACCACACTGGGGGTGCCCCCAAATAATTGGGAAACCATGGTTTGGGGAACTGAAGACCTGAGTGAGAAGGTATAGGCAGAGAATTGTCATACTTTAGCATTAATAGAAACCACAGCAACAATGACAATAGCTATCACTTATGGAGTGCCTATGCCACTTCAGGCATGTTGCTGACATGTGACTCATCTATTATAGGTATATATGTAATACTATATGTTATTTCATAGATATTATAGGTTTTACACACACACACCTACACACACATTTGTTAACGGTGCTTGTGTTTGTTCACAGGCAGGACAAACCTGGGGTGTCCTTACAAAATATTCATCTCTGTAAATAATCAAAGCATTGTCTACTCAACAGGAATAAGCTCCCATCTTTGGTTATTTTTTTATGTAAAAAATGAAACCAAAAGGCTGGAGAAATGAAAATTAATATAGACTATTAGTAGCGAAGTAACATCTCAAGTGTCTAATTACAAAAAATAATTTAAGTATGTGGACTTGAAAGTGATCGTGTTGCTGTTAAAACGGAGAAAAAAGGATTATTATGAAGGCTATATATATAAACCTAGAAAAATTCACACATAAACAAACACACATCTTATAATTGGAAGTGAAAAAGTAGAATATCAAACTCTATATACTTTTATAATAGAATACACAATAGTCAGACGGTGGAAGCAATTCAGATTTCCCCCAAAAGATGGGTAGATAAGCAAAATGTGGGATGTATGTATATATATATATATATATATATATATATATATATATATACACACACACACACACACACACACATACATACATATATGTGTGTGTGTATGTATACATACATTTATATATATACATATATATGGGATGGATATATATATATATATATACATGTATATATATGTATATATGTGTGTATATATATTTGTATATACATGTATATATATGTATATGTACATATATATATCTCCAAACACACACACACACACACAGAATGGAATATTAACCAGCCTTAAAAAGAAAGGACATTGTGACACATGCTACAATCTGGATTAGTGTTGAGGACATTATGCTAAGAGAAATGTCATTCACCAAAGAGCATATTCTGTTATGTTCCACTTAAGTGGGGAAACTGGATTAGTCAAATTCATAGAAATACAATATAGACTGGTGGTCTCCAGGGTCTGGGCGAAGGGGAAATGAGGATTTTTTTTCAGTACTGGGGGTTGAACCCAGGGCATTCTCCACTGAGCCACATCCCAACCCTTTCTTTTTTTCATTTGGAGATAGGGTCTCCCTAAGTTGCTGAGGCTGGCC